TATATTTATATTCTATTATTTTTTAAAATTTGAAATTAAATATATATATTGTATTATTTTTAAATATAAAATTTTACTTGACTCTTACGTCGCTCTTTCTATTTGTATTAATTATTGTTATACTAAGAGTCCTTGGATATTTTCATCTTATTTACTATATTATTTATCTCCTTTCAGATCATATATTTTTCCTAAACATTTTTTGTTAATATGTAGCCATTTTTATTACTTTAGAGTATATCAGTTAAATAAAACACCCTATATACGCGCTACTTGCGCTATTATATTCCCGATTATTCTATATCATAAATGCAACAATTATGTAGTTTATACGTAATTTCGCATGAAATGCTACATAACTGATAGTACTACGACATATCTCGACTCTTTCTTACTTATTTCCTTGTCAGTTAACAAAAAAGAAGTCGCTGAATGGCGGTCTTTCTACGTTTTGTGAACCAAACTATGTGCTTTTTGTTACTATTTTCATTTTTCATCAAAGCTACATTTTGAAGATAGCTTGAAAAAGGATCATTTTGTTTTACTTTTTCGTCAATGATGCGATTGATTATGATTACATCATTTTTTATATTGCTCTACAATTTTTTTGGTACAATAGCGGCCCCGAGTGACTATAATAATGCGGTAAGCATACTTTTTCTCACTTTGAAAATAAACATTAGAATCCTTATTCTTACGATCTTCCAGATTTTTACTGTCTTGATGTATACTTTTTAAATTCGTTAAAGTGAAATCTCAATGTAAAGTGAAAATTAAGCTAATCTTGAAAAGGAATGGTTCAATTTTCAATCTTTAAAAGCTAAGTTTCGCTCTTCATCGTGATAATTCACTCTAAGAGTTTTAGAGATAGTAGATAATACTTTTTATTTTAAAAACAATCACAGCTGGCTTATTGCGCATCTCTTCAAAATTACGACATAAATTCTACAAAGTTAACACTTCTGATTCTTTTGCAGTTCTATATCAAACTAGAATGATGCAGCATCACGTATTTCTTGAAAGTATTCATATTATGAATATGATTATAATTAACAAACTACTTTTTCAATCACTTTAAATTTTTTTTCGATTATTATAAATGTCCATAAATTTAATAAAAATTCTTTGTGTTAGACTTGTCGATGAGATAAAATGGAGAGTAAATTGCTTATTGCTCGTTTGTGAAAAATAATTGAAACTGCAAAAGATACTAACCGTTACATATATTGTTTGTCTTCTAAAGTCATTTCAATCACTTATTAATACTAACTTTAAGTAATATATATATTTGAGAATACAATTTGTTTACTTTTACGGATCTTTTTTTCTTGCAGATAACGGATATGAAATCTTCAATTAATAACGGTTAATATGACTTCTAAATTAATCTTTGAGAAATATTTTTAAGATATATCGCACATTTGTGCTACAACAATGACGTACTCAAGAGAAATAAAATTTTTTGGAAAATAAATTTCAACATTTTGAATCATTAAAATTTTGTAATATTAATTATTGTAAAACTTAGTTTTAGAAAATTCTTGATATCTAAAGATCCCTGAATTTGAATGTAGTCTAAAAATATTAAATTTCAAATAGATAATAAAGATTAATATACAGGAAAATGTCAAAAGGTCTATAATCAGAGTTTAAACGCTTGGAAATTAATATCAACTGTTTACATAACACTAATAAGCTTTAAATAAAGAGAAACTAAAAATTTAATATTACTTTGCTATTAAAAATTTTCTAATACCGAGTTTTATATCAAATTGCTTTTTAGAAATTCTGTTTGCCACATTCTTTCTGCTATTTTGAACTTTTTAATTTTAACCTAATAATTAAAGATAAATATTAAAAAAATATTTATTTATATATAATAGTTAGTAAATGTAAAAGTTTATTATAGCGCTATACTTGTTTATCCTTTTCATATTGTGAAAAATAAAATTGGGGGTACGTAAGTCACATATAACTATATAAGTTATTGTAAGATATTGCAAAATTAATTGCAAAATATGATTTTACATTTTCTACATTTTCGTCAATTTTTATCAGCAATGTTGTAATATCAAATTTTATATAGAGATATTTAGCAAAATATTGTGTTCTTATAATCTTATTCTCCTCAACAAATATCTTTTTTTAAATCACTTTTTTCGAATCGTTGTTATAATATTTTTATACATAACGTACAGAATTTTTCGAAATTTACGAATCAAAATACCATAGTAAGAGAAATAAATTCAGAGTAAAATGTTTATAAATTTTTATTTTAAGCAAAAATTGTGACATATGAAGTGTTTAAATATTGCCTGTTATAGACGTTTAGACGACTATTTTCACTGAGGTGCGCATTTACTAACTATTGCACACACAGTTTGTGGGTAGCCGTCTAAACGTAATCTATAATTGGTTATATTTAATATTTCAAAACTGTTACTTAAAATAAAAATGTATACGTAACATTTTTATTTAATTTTTTGAAAACTTTCTTACTGTAATACTTTAATTCGCGAGTTTCGGGATATCCTGTATATATTTATGTGTCGCAAACGAGAAATAGATATTTTTAATGAAATCTTTTTACAGACAATTTTATATTCAATTTGGCAATTTCCTGTATATTTGGTGTTAAATCGGTCTCGACTGTTCTATACACGAGGTAAATGGCACATAGTGAATAATGTGTAACTCTACTGTAAATTTATTTTTTACACTGCTTACGTTCGCCTTTTTACATTTTTTACAGTAATATTCCTAATGGAAAAATTGTTCAAGTAAACGAATCCTGCAATCTTATTGATCCCTTAAAACCGGTTTTCTTCATGACTCATGGTTTTCTTGCCAATTCACTCAATTATAATTTTCCTTATTTTGCCACTCTATTGTCTCAGGTATAAAACATTTTTTTATACTTAATAATAAAATTAAAAATAGATTTTTTTTATATAATAAGTAAATCTTATTTGTATACTATAATTTTTTTGAAAATCTTATATTAAACGAGTAATAAAGAAATATTGTAAAATTCACGATAAAAAAAATTAAAACAAGTTCTTTTTTTGTATATAGAAAGAGTATACAGTGTTTTCATTAGATTGGTCTAACGCAGCCTGCTATAACCCAATAACAGCTACTATGAACTTGCTAGAATATCCTCTCGCTGTACGTAACACTCGTGAAGTTGGTATCTATTTGGCGAGGTATAGCTACATATATATTTCACAATATTACATCAAATTGAGAAATAAAATTATTATGATACATATATAAATTATTATAATAAATATATAAATTCAAATTCAATAAATTCTAATTACGATTTAAATAAATAATTTTAAATAATAATAGCATTATAATAAAATTAAGCAATACTTCAATGATCAATGCAATACTATATACGATAAAAAATATAGTCATAAAATTTAGCTTCGTATGTTATAGAGGATGTCTCAGACCCCACCCATACCTTTTATCTTTTCAGAATAAGGTCCAATTAAAAATATATTCAAGCAATAATTTTAGGGTTTAAAAAAATCTTTTTACTAGTCTTATCAGTTTGACTTTGAGTAGCGTCGCCAAAGTCAGGTCAAGATCTTATCAATCTTTAAAATGAAAATTCTTATTTTTTATTGCATATTCTTGTAACATCTCGACAATTTTTCAAAACACTATAATAAAATATTGTATTTTTTCATTAAATACTTTCCAAGTTAAGGCTTAAAATAAGTTGCAATATTGCTGGTATTAGCATTATCTAAGGCGTTCGATTAATGGTTAAGACCTTTTAAATGTTGTTTAGGGTCATGATCTTGACATCATATAAAATCAAGGTCTTTGAAGATTGGCAATGCCATTCTAAGTTAAACTGATAAGACCAGTAAATAATGCTTTTTAAACTCTAGAATTATTGTTAGAACATATTCATTATTGGATCTTATCCTGTAAAGATAAAATTAAAGAGGTGTACTAATGATCTGGGACTATCTGTTTATATTACGTTAAAAATAATGACAATATCATACAACAATATTAAACCAAACAAAATGCGATGTTTTATATATATATATATATATATACAAAATTTCCTTTTCAGTTACGTCAAATCATTGATCGATACATGCGATGTTCCATTGAAGAACATTACGTTAATGGGCCATAGTCTTGGTGCGCATGTAAGTAGCTTCGCCGCGAAGGATCTTCAAAAATCAGGTTACGGCAAGATTCCGCTTCTTATTGGTACCGATCCGGCATATCCTCTATTCGTGTTCAATAATTGCGAGGACAGATTTTGCAAAATGGACGCGGAGCGTGTAGTAGCTCTTCACACATCGGCTGCCGGGATACAAGAGTCTATAGGTCATCTCGATTTGTGGTTCAACAACGGATTAAGCCAACCAGCATGTGGTGGTAATTATTCAGAAAAAACGTCATAAAGATAACAGCTAACAGGAAAAAATTATAAATAAAGTAATTTTTGTTTTAGGCTGGTTTTTTGGTACTGTCAGGCTCAACTGTTCGCATAATATAGCCATCGCATATTTATGTAATACGTTGTTTCACGATTGTAAATATACTGGTGTTGGTGTTTCTATATCGTAAGTTCGCTTTTTTAAATAACAGCGTATTTAAACTTAGATTAATTCAAGTTTCATAATTTTTTTTAATCTAAAAACTTTATTATATCAAATTAAACATATTTATAAAATATATAGAAGCTACATTATTACGATCATATGTATACATAATACATTGTTTTTATTTTTTTCAGACCCAGAACAATTCCGTTTCTCAAGTATGTATAAATAATATAAAAATAATTTGTTCTCTTGTTTCTTGATAAAGATTATTGTATCAATTCTTATTAAACCGTTAAATTTCAAACTGAATGAGACAATGCCACAGCGGTCTAAGCTGGATCACGGGTGCTTCTAAATAATTGTGTGTGAATTTATATATTACGAATGTAATTCTTCGATTGCGCGCCGAAATTTTTTCAGACTTGAAATACAACACTAATAAACTATCCCAGTAATACATATCACGAGTTCAATTGACTAACAATTTAACAATTATTGATGCTGTTTACGCATTTTATCGATCTTACTAATGTTGCTTTTACTAATGTTGCTGTTTACTAAATTTAAGCATCCTAGGCTAGGTCTCGGTAGTCTACAGACCTAGGATGCTCACACCGAATGCCAGAGATCCGGATTCGACTCCCGGCCGAGGTAATATTTTTCGCGGTAAAAAATTAATTATTTACAATTTTTTTTTAATAGATTATTCAACATTAGTAAGATCGATATAAGATGCTTAAACAGCATCAATAATTGTTAAATTGTTAGTTAATTTAACTCGTGATATTACTGTGGTTGTTTATTAGTGTTGTATTTCAAATCTGAAAAAATTTTGGCGCGCAATCGAAGAATTACATTCGTAGTATATGAATTCACACATAATTATTTAGAAGCACCTGTGATCCAGCTTAATGCCATTAGATCCGTTGTGCCATTGTCTTATTTGATTTAAAGATTATTGTATTTTTTATCATAACTGTTTATCATAACTGTTCACAAATAACTTTTATCATAACTATTTTCTTGCAGTATTTTACCCGGTTGTTCTTCCGACGAAACTGACTGCATTATCGTGGATCATAGGATATTCGACCGTAATTATGCCATAGAGGGAGACTACTGTGTTTCTGTTACATCAGAATATCCTTACTGTACAAAGGATGTTTCCATCTGTCAAAAATAAGTTACGGCAAATTCAACACTTTAATTTCATTATAATAGAAATGAAGTTTTACAATTGTCACTCTTATAATAAGTGTGATTATAGACTGAGTTGTATAATGAATAAGCATAAATAGATTGATTTACATGATCTTGTTTAGTATAGATCTTTATTTTGTTAAAATCTTTAAACTGTTACTAATAAAAAAAATTAAATATTGCAATTTAGAAAGTTTAATAGAAGAATTGATAGAGATCGATTAAAAATACAAGAAAGATAAAAAGAACATTAGACTGTATTATGAACTATCGTATTTTTCTCGATTTCTATCTTGAATTAACGTAATTAAGTTATATAACGATATTTTAGAGTTTTACATTATCTCATTTATTTTCTGTATATATTGTATATATTTTTAATATGACAATTTAATGTTAAGTTTTAATGTTATATTCATCATTATTATTCAGTAATATTAATCAGTCTTTTAGAATTTAAGTTCTAATTATTTAATTCTTTATTATCATAATATTTTAATATTGCGCTGCAACGTCTTCAATAATAATCTGCATAATTAATTTCATAATAATTTATATATATTTTGTATGTAGGCATTCAATGTAAAAATATTCGTTTTTATACATTTTATATAACTCCTTTAGACCCCACATACATTGTAGTGTACATCAAAATTGAAGATGTTATTTGTTGAAATTATTTAATTCTACATCATTACTTAATTTGATATCATCTGAGATTTGATGTACATAATAACATATATATTGTGGAAAAGTAGCCAAAAATTTAAAAAGATTAATTGTTATATAAAATATCATTATATATATCTCGTATTTGTACATACAATTCTTGTTATAATTAATGTATATAGTACATAATTTTATGGACTATTTTTTCCTAAGCAGTTACGTTAGAATTAGTAGCATAAACAAATACTCATAATTAGTTAAAAGTTACATTAAAACTAAATTAGTATAGGTTAAATTAAAATTAAGTTTTTTTAATAACACTATTTATTATGAAATAAAATGTATTTTTTTAAATTAAATTATAAAAGAACATTTACAATATAGATATTATAGATTATTAAATAAATTTAATATTTTATTTATGAAATAAGTTTAAATGTAACGTTCCCTTACAAAAATTACAAAAGTGACACAATACATAAAAATAATACACAAGTTTTTCTGAAAAAGAATAAAAAAAAGCTATAATATTTTTTAATTATTTAATAGAAAGTTATTGACTAATCAAATAAAATTGGAAGTAAAAAAATATACTCTTATAGAAATATATGTATGTTTAAATATCATATTTCTGTCATTTTTATTTTTTACTTTTTAAAAATCTTTTTTTTAATTGCGACGATTTTGATATCCCCTTACACATCTAGAATAATTCATTAAAAATAACAACTTTCAAAATATGACATCAATTTAGATTTATCTCTAATTTATTGTTTTATATCGTTGTAATGAAATTTATAAATAAATGATAAAATTTTATCTTACTCAATTGTGTATTTATCATAAAGGAACTTTTTTTTTTACAAAAATTCATAATAAAATTATATAAACTAGTTATGGACTCTTTATTGTTAAAAACAAATAAATAAAACATAAATTAAAGGCTATTAAGAGTCAAACGCAGTTAACAATGCGAAAAAAATTTTTTAATAATCTTACAAATTAACATTAAGATGCCCCGTCGAACGTTTCGGTCTGTAATTTAGACCATCTTCAGCGACGAAATAATAATAAATCACTACTCCATTTACTCCGAGTTAGAATGCAAGTATTCTTGTTGAACGACAAAATGTTCCTGTGCACCAACTAGAGGTAAAAATATCGAAGATAATGGATGTGGAGTTGTGTAATGAAATTCCGAAAAATCAGAAATATGTCTGTGAAAAAGACCGTTAACAACACAAATTCTATTAGAGTCAAATTATTACAAAACAAAAAATTATTAAAATCCTTAAAACCTTACCTCTGTTGGTAGACAAAAACATTATTTCATAATTAAATTCACAATTTAATCGTACTAGAAAGACTGACTGTAATAAATAT